CTCATTTACCGAAGATTTCACCACACACTCATAGTCACCACCGTCGAGCAATGTTACGTTATGTACGGTGAGTCGATTACGATCAATTATCTATGAAATTCAACAGAATTAGATGAAATATATATTTTGTTGACAATAATATTAAAAGCGTCTTACAATACGTTCAGTGCCGTCGTGGTTGTTTCGCAATATTTCGCCATTACGTTTCCACATAAAGGCGACGTCCAGCAACTCATCATAACTAGCATCACATTGAAGAAAAATTAAATCGTGCTCTTGTGTGGTAATGCGCAGTGGCGGTGTCTGTGTAAAACGCAGCTCCTCTGGAATAGAAAACGCATTTCATATCTTACACAATCTGTAAAGCACAAATTACTTACGCAATACAATTACTCGTGAGCGTGACTCATCCGTCCCCGCTTTATTAGTGGCAACGCATGTGTATAGACCTTCATCGTCGCGTGAAGTCGGCGCTATTATCAATGTGCCACTGGGTAAAATGCGCCTATGTCCGCCCGCACCGATAAGTTGACCATCCTTCTTCCATTGGAATTTAGGGCGTGGCGCTGCTTCAGGATCACACACGATGGTCGTGTTGCCATTTTGCACAGCATAAATCTCTGGTTCAAGGGGTCTTTTCTTGAATGACGGTTTCATTGATAGCACTCGTAATTGCGCAGAAGAGAATGACGTTTTCAATTGGTTTGTCGCGCCGCACTGATACATGCCGTCATCCTTATCCGCCTCCAAGTATTTAACAGTAAGCACATTGTCCTGTATTATATAGCGATCTTTATCTATGCGCTCTGGGTCTAAGCGTTCCGCATTTTTATACCAAGTATAATTAACATCAGGTATTGCAAAGGCCTCGCAAATAAATGTCACGTCGCCATTATTATCCATTATTTTATCTTGTAAAGGAATTGTGAATTGTGGCTTCATTTGAATATTGATGAAAATCGATTTATGTATAGTTTTGCGCGGATTGGAAATTGTGCAGGTATATTCTCCATTATTGTTAGTTGTTGCGTTTTCAATGATTAGCACGCGATTATTGCTTACGGTATACGCATTACGCTGAAGTGGTTGGCCGACTCTAGTCCAATTATACGACGGTATAGGATACCCAAAACCGACACATTCGAGGCGTATCTCATCGCCCGCAATTGGAGCTTCGGGGAACACCTTTAAAAAACATATTTCAATTTAAATATTATATACATATTACAACTGATCACCTTTGGAAATGTGTTTGCAAAAATTAGCGTTTGATAGTTGCTGTTGGGCGTCACTCGCAATGGGAAAAATGGACCATTACGTCCGGTATCGGAAACTGATGTCTGTACGCTACATGAATAATTGGCGCGATCAACTATCTCGATGGATGAGAAATATAGAGCACCATCATTAGATACAAAAACACGCTGATCTTCTTGAACGAAATTCGGAAAATAATCGCGCGCCCAGTAGTATTTCACATCTGGATAATGTTGGGGCGGGTCACAAAATATGGACTTGCCCCAATTCATATCAGCAGTTTCAGCCGATCGTTTCAGATTAAACTCCATAATAAATCCGAAATTCAAATGTGCACTCTCTGAACGAATGCGTCCAAATTTGTTTTCCGCAACACAATGGTAAGCACCTTGATCGAGTGCCTGTTTTGGATCATAAATTATGAGGTTACCTCCGGAAATTGTATAACGGTCATTAGTCAACGGATCTATAGTCAAATATTCAAGTGAATCATTTACATAGACTTCGCGATACCAGCGGTATGTGGGTGTGGGAAATCCGCCTGCCAAACAACTTAACGTAACATCGTTTATAAGTCGGTTCTTGCTCGTATCGAATGTCGTGTCATTGGGCTGCTTTACAAAGTAAGGACCGCGTGGAATTTTTTCGAAATCCCTAAAGTCTAAGCCATAATGAAATGGACGCTTGTCATCTAATTTCAGCTTGATATTTTCAGGATTATATAGTACTTTTGACTCGCAGATGAACAAGTTCAATTCTATGTCATAGGCAGGCATGAATAACCAGCGGTCGCGCTTCTTTGAAAACCCATAAACTACACGATCTCTGGTAAAAGGGTTATCGCCATTCTGGTTTGGTCCTATAAAAAAAGAAAACATAAATTTTGATGCCATCACTGAATAATTATATTACATCGTACCAAAAAATCCACGCAAATTGTTTTGATTCCGGGTGTTGATAGAGCCTGGCATAGTATTGTAGAACTGATTCGGATTATTCCGATTATAGTCGGTCTGGTACATGTTCTGGACTAAGAATCGATTGTCGTGTAAATTTTCATTTTCAAACGACTGATCTTCATCAAACGCAAATGAATCTTCCAACACTAGGAATGGCGAATTATCATCGTTTGCCCAACTATTGGGTCCAGTCTGTCTTGCGGATATCCAAAATCGGTTCTGCCGTTGATTCTGTATTATCAATTGTTTCAGTATAAAAGAATGTTTTTCAATACTATCTACATTTAACAGCTCGGCATTGTAAGCTTTACAAATTTTCTTAGCTTCTAGCCAGTTACGTTTTGGCGAACGTATAAATCTATAGCAAGTTTGGCGAAAAGATATCCAATGCTCTGGGCAGTAATTCTGCACTTCATTGTCTATATAGTCAAACCCGGTAGATGTACTTCCACGGTTAAACGGATCATAGTTACTTATACCACTACCGCCAGTGCCATATATGCCACCAGTATTACCACTACCTAAAGCATTCGATGACTGGTCATAAAAGTTATTTTGGTTTGGCGGACCAACCAGTAGGCCGCCACCACCCTGTTGGGGATTTTGTTGATCTTGTTGAGATGATATGAGTGGATTGTCGTATTGTGAACCGAGTGATCCTTGCTGAGTATTCGTATAGAGAGGATTATAGCGAGGTTGATATTCTTTGTTGTATGTAGGTTGATATGTTTGTGGTTCGTTAACTTGAGCATCAGGTTTTGCATCAGCGTCGCCATATCTGACAAATGCCAGGAAAGCAACATAAAAAACAGCAAGACACGCCATTTCCGCTGATAAATATCAAGGAAGTACGCGCAATTCAAATTAGTTGAAACTCCCAGTTCTTGGTATTTTAAAGGCACATTTTGGACGGTTTTTCGGAATATAAATTCAAATGATTCACTCGGTGCTGTAAAGATTTTAAATGGTTAATATGAAATCATAAAATATATGTATGGATATGTACGCACATATGTACATATATATATCGAAATAGAAAAATATTTTGGAGAATTTTAATTATATTCTTTAAACAATCTAAATGGGGCGAATTAGCTGGTGGAATATACTCAATGGAGTGTGAAATATACATATATAGAAGCGAGAAACTAAACATTAAACGGGGAGAAATGTATGAGTAAATTCATATTCAGGCATATGTGCTGATGCATCTACATTGTTCAAGCTTAAACTTTTTATACCCTGAACAGATTATACTAAGTTTGCCACGTAGTTTGTAACACCCCCAAGAAAATGTCGGAGACCCTATTAAATATACATACATATGTACTACATATGCTTATGTAAATAATCGGAACGACAAGCGGACTCGAATAAGCAATGTTCGTCTGTCTGTATATACCATAGATAAATGATCCATGGTATATACGCGAACTAGTCCTTAAGTTTTAGAGATATCGATCTGAAATTTCCTTTTTTCCCCATTATGATAATTTGTCGGCATATAGGAGCTGCCATACAAAATAACCAATCGAAATCAAGTTTTGGATATAATCTTTTGTAATTGTGAAGGGCATCGGTAAATGTATAGTTTAGGTCCCCCAACTAAGGAGGCCTCAAATATGAAATTTTTTTTTAAATCGTCTTATTTTTACGCGTAGATTACAAATCCGTGAGCGGAAAATGCATTTTTTCAATAATTTATGTATATTTTTCAAAATTTATTTAACACACTTTGCACATATCACATATTCAAGTCACTTAGTTGTTGTTGTTGTAGCGGTAAAATTCTGTAGAAATCAGATCACTTAGCTGTAATTACCAGTTCAGTGTGTTAAACATTTTCTTATGAAAAAAATATACTAAAGAAATCTAACAGTCACAATTTCCTTTGTGCCGCGATCTGATGGTATGGACGAATATCGGAAATATTTGAACTCTTTTCCGCACTGGCGGCCTTCGGCCCCGCTTCAAAAATATAACCCTGGTCGGTCCAAAACCGGGGTGTTCATAATTCAATCGCGTCAAACTCCTTTTCGCTGCTCTCAACCTCGATGATAATTTTCATCAGAGATAACGTATTGAAAATTCAAAAATCAATTGTTTAATATATCACAAAATCACAAAAAAAGAGTATAAAAAGTTTCTGCATATGTTTAACGGAAACATGTATAATAATGTTTAATCTTTATAAATGATGGGTATTTTAATTTAAATTCCGAAAAATTATTACTTTGTCCGATCTGGCTACAATGGAAAATGTTATAAAAAACGCTAATTTTGAGGCGCTATCACACTGGAAAGAGTTGGGCATCCCATTATCCCTGATTTTCATCACGATGCAGAGTATGTGTTATTATTAATATCACAATAAAAGTGCACTAACATTGATATTTTAATATAAATTTTCAGAAACGTTTATGAAGAAGAGGAGTAAATATACCAAAAAACGTGAATATGTGATTTTTTTCAAAGGAAAAAATAAAACAATTAATTTAAATGTATCACAATTTTTTATTTTTAAAAAAAATTTTTTTTTTGAAAAAATTAAAAAAAATAGAAATATTGAAAAAATTCACTTTCCGCTCACGGATTTGTAATCTACGCCTAAAAATAAGACGATTTAAAAAAAATTTCAATTTTGAGGCCTCCTTAGTTGGGGGATCTAAACTATACATTTACCATATAATTTTCCGAACATACCCAATAAGGTGAATAACTGTTAATAACAAATGTAAAGAAAATAGCGAATACCTTTTATGCATTGATACTAAATGATATATTCTCGTAAACATTTATATTCAAGTCGGTAAATCTCTTGTGTCCGTTGTTGTTGTAGCGGCAGAATTCTGTGTGTCCGTCATATACGTTAGTGTAGCCATTTGTATGAGTTAGGTGTGGCATTGGCTTCAAAACTTAGTATCTCGTATTTAATTAACAAAAATGTAAAAAAGTTTAATTTTATTTAAACGATATGTTTTTTTTTTTATACCCCTTAGAATTTCATCAAGAAGTATGCTTTAATTTGAAAGATAATGTTAACTGCGCTGCCTTCGTCGACAGAATGCCAGCAGCGCAATGCTCAATACACAAATTCACTTAATTCTTAGCCCTGTCCTGTTATCACATTAAATAACGCCTAGATTCACCTTTTAACTCTCTCATATTTAAAAAACATATCGAGTATTATTTTAAATCTTTTAAAAATCAATTTGCACAGTTAGGTATAAACTGAGTCACACGATCGACTAGATTATTAAGTCGAGCTTACGCCAACCCTAAACCACACCTTAAAATATAGTTGTCAATGTCTTTTTATAAAAGTCGGTATCGAAGATATATTACAAACAAAATTAGCATTACCTTTCAAAAACAATGTTTTCTGCAGAGGTTTTCAATATAAATGTTTTTCTTATTGGAAATAAAACTGAAAATTAATTGAAAACAAAAATTTCACCCAGCAGCGAATAAATCGGACACAACAGAACGAGCACAAAAAGTGAAATAATCTATTAAAAAACGAAAGCGAGGAAATAAACGAAAGATAATCAATGGATTTTGGTACTGAGACATTTATACAAATAGTCATTCACAATAGAGGTTTAAACTTGAACCCAAGAATGATAAGAATCTTTTGCATATATACGTAAAGTTTTATAAACTTCATTAAATAATTGAAATGCTCGAATAAATAACAATAATAATTTATAAATGTCTTTCAATATACGCTACGAATTGATAAGAAAGGAGTACCGTAACTCACGGATTTCACCAAATTTTAGTGTCCTTAACATAAGTAATTTGTAATTACAATTTCAGTTACTTTTAGTATTATTCAGTCCTTATAACTGCATTTTGAAGACATTCCAAAACTATTTCCGTATTCAGAGGCATATGAGAATTCCCTTAACACATTTTATTATTAATAATATAAATCAATTAAAATATTTTATAATATTTTTTTTGCTAATTAGAACCGTTTACCATTTTATTTAATCAAAACCAACTTCATTTATATAATTTTTAATAATGTGTATGCATGCGAATTCATTTTTCAATTTAATCGATTTCAAACAATTTTCCAATGATCCTTTTGATTTATCATACCATGGCATTGGCAATATTGCAGTTGTATGGGGTCGAAACGTCTATTTTCGAATGACTTCAAATTTTGTAAAACTTTTGGTGTGCTGACACGATAAGCATCACAGGACTCGAGATTTCTTATCGTTTTATTCTCTAACCAACCATAATTCTGATTTGTATATCGGGGCACACAAAATTCGTTCCTAGGAAAGTAGTTCTCGATTTTTTCTAATTCATTCTGATAGTACCTAACATCCGGAGTATCGATGTTTTCCAAATGCTCATATTTAGAATAGAATTTCTCAGTCAAGGGTAAATTTTTATAATTCGGCTTGAAAGTGTGATAATCATCACTACTCACAATCCCCTGACATCGAAAATATGGTTTACATTTAGGATTTTTTTGCAATCCCGAGGACAGAATCAATTTATTTGGAGGATAATTTACAGCGAATCTGTCTACCTAAGACTCAAAGGGAGCAATACAATATGCTACTGTGTATTCAACTTATTGAACTAACCTTGGATAGAGGATCTAATTCTGAACACGAACAAGAGTCCTCCTTTTTTGGGCATTTTTTAAAACCCCCTAACATAGAACAACACACGCTCATTGGATCACAACGTTCTGGTTCATTAAACCACCTGGGCAGAGGGCTAGAAATGCATTTAATAGCTTCGGACAATTTATCTTCGCGTGAAATTTCTTTTTTTGAACAAAGCGGACATGGCGATTGTTTTTTCCCTTTTTCATCTAGCTTAATGCAAATTCCACACGGTTTTGGCTTTCCATTTTGGTCATCATTTTGATATTTGTATTGAATATTTATATTGTGGTTACAAAATGTGTGCAATGTTGGTGGTTTCTGATTAGTCCTTTCGCATGGTGGAATAGGCGGTTTATCATCGACAATATCACGACATTCCTCAGCTATCTTTTTGGCAAACAAGTTAAACTGTGTATCAGTAGCATCTGAATCGTGGCACTTCATATTTTAAAAATTTTTCCTTTTACTAAATTTTTAGACTTCCGGTTTGAACATACTTTTTAAAAACTAAAACTTTTTTATGACTAAATTTTCAATACGTACCTTGTTATTAAATTATGCTTCGTGAACCATTTAAACATTATAAGCACATTCTTTATATAAAATAATTGGGCTACATTATGATGGTAAATTTAAACATTACGATATAAAAAATTATCCAAGTCGATAGTTAATAAATTTAATTATATCTGCCTTAAGATAATAATTACTTTGTCCAAAAATTCAAGCCTTTTATTGGTTTCTCTTTAAATCCTCGCACCAAAATATCTGCTTCCCACCACGTTGGCAAGAACTGATCGTGTTTATTGCAACCATAATCGCTATTTCCATTTTCACTATCGCTTATATTGAGAGACATCACCCCTTCAAACACTTCGATTTCCTTACAACAATTTAATTTCACGTTATCATTCAGAATTGCGAACGGTGTGTGCTTCAAGTGAAAGTGGATATCCTTACAACTTGGAGGCAACTGATAAATGTCTTTCGGTAGTAAGTGTGTTTTTGAACATGTGTCTTTTAAAATTCCTGGTTCACATAATAATTCCATTTCAAGATACAAATTGGTTGGACAAAGATTATGTGAGAAAATGTCATACAAGTCTTCGCTAGTCAAAAGTGAACTGTTAAAATATTTTTTTATATTTTATATTTGGTTATCAAATGAATGAATTTTACTCACATTAAAGTTTGATTCAGACGAGCACGTGGAATGCGGTGTTGGCTATGGAAATGCAGCCGCGATATTGCATCGATTGGTATGTGAATTGTGTATGCTTCCTTTGCAGTAAACGTTGTTGGTCCAAATATAAATTTCAAGCTACGAACGTTATTCTTGTCAAATGATTTTCTGATCAGCTTTCGCATTGCACTAATTGCTTCTTTTGTTCTAAGTGCCTGTTCCCGTTGCCGCTCTATTTGATAGGAGTGAAGGCTGCTTATGGATTGTCCAGATTTCGTGCAAGTTTCAATGCCACCATTAGCATTACCTGTTACCTCATCTGTCCACAATTCGACATAATATTTGTAAGTGTTATAAACGAATGGGATTTGGTTTCGTTGAAATAGTAGGAACTCCAGAATCGAGTTTACTACGTCAGCTGCTGAACCTGCAGTTAAAACGTCTACTTCAATATTTAAATTGAGTTGTTTTGTTGGCGGCATTTTCGTATTTAAAATCGAAAGATGTTAATCATAAGTTTCAAAGAGAACAAAAAAATGTATACAAATTCATATAGTGCTGCCAGTTCTCCAAGCGAAAGTGCTGAAAATAAAATAAAAATTCAATACGATTAATATTGTGACAAACACGGATGATAGAACAAAATCGAATCAACGATAAACTGCCAGAAGCAACTAGTTAGCGAATTCGTAGTTGCCAGAATGTTCTAGAAGCAATGTTTTGTTACAGATTTACTAGGAGAATTGGCAACATGACTTATTAGCGAGTTAAAATAATATTTTAATTTTATTCATATGCACTATATATGGCATTAAATTAAAAAATTTATATAAAATTGCCATTCATATGAAATCTTTAACTACTTCTATATATTCTAAGCACAGTCCATATAGTACTTTACATGTTTATTTATTATCATTATTTCATAGTTTGTCGATTTAGCCCATTTTATCCAAATACGACGCTATGAAAATGCAGCCCAATTGGTAATCGCAATATTTCAAAAGAGCGTAAATCAATTTTCAACAGCAAAGCCCTGCAAAAAGGACAAACGAGACAACATAGCCGATCGACATTGTCGTAAAATTGTCGATTGAAACAAATCTTGTCAACTCCGCCACGATGCGCAAAATTCGGCGTCAATATGTATGCGAGCTCATATGTATATATGTATGTTTGCCGACAAAATCGTCATTTGGTTACTTTCAACAACACAATGTCTGCGCGAACTCGCCGTTATTTCGTTGGCTTGCCACTATACACAGAGGCGTTCTAACTGAGGATTCTTAGTAAATTATGATGTTGCTTAATTTGTATTGAAAAATACTGATGCATTTATATATTTATATATATATTTTCGTAATATAATATATATTATATATATATATAAATACACATAAATTTATACCTATAATCGTTTTAAAACTAAATTCGATATATAAAATATATATCTGAAATAATTATGGGGCAGTGCGCCCCAATCCCTCCTTGCCTGCGATCGTTCAACTCGCAAAAAGCAAAAAGCGTAGACAAAAGTAATTGCTTGTGCGGGGCAAGAAGAAGCAAGCATCTGCGTACGTGTTTTTAAGAATGTATGTGTGATTATCACATTTGTCATTTGTGTAAATACGCATAATAAGGAAATATTCAATAAACCTAATCATATGAACATATTTTCCAGATATGTTTTAATTATATCAGGAAGTAAAATATGCTATTAAAGAAATTGAATTATGATATGCTTAGATTCCAATTAATAAAATAAAATTTCAGTTTCATGAGTTTTAGGATTCGAACGTATAGATTCGTATTCGGATTGAGCTTAACCCCTTCCCGCTTACGACCTCAGCCACCACAAAAGTGGAAACGCGGCCGCTTAGCCACCGTTTTATTCTTATCCTTGCTCAATAAGCAATTACTCACGCAACGCATACATAAGTTGGAAAAATTGCCTATTAAATGTTTATTTTATTATGAATTCTGGGGTTTTTACCGATAATACAGATTTTTAATTCAGAAGGTTTTTTATAATTATAAATTTGTCATATCATAGAAATTGAAATCATAAATCTAAATAGGTATGCGCAACGATTTTTCATTTAGGATATTCGTTGTGTCTATTTATAGCATTTCGCACATTGCGTGGTGTATTTTTCTTTTTCGAAGTTATATTTTTCGATGTTCCCTCATGTGGAATTACAAATTAGTACTCAAAAAGATTTCAGTTAACATTTGCTCCTTCTTTATTCATTAACATTCTCTGTTTATAGTAAATCACACAACAACAACATTTTCATTCATGAACGCAGGCGTACTTTCGACAAGCAACCTCGCTTCATTCATAAAAACAGACACCCTCTCATCTCCCCGAGCATGCGTTTGCCAACAAGCGTCTTTTCGCGACGATGGCAAAAGCTAAAAATCATAAATTGAACAAATTTTTGATGTTCCTTTTGGAAGGGAAAAGTTGCAACCCCGCAAATCCACAAAACACAAAAAAAATTGACAAAACTGGCAACAAAGCTTTTGTCGATTTAAAATATTTTTAAATTTTAAAACATTTTCCAATTTTAAAATATTTTTCCATGACAAAAATCTTCGTCAATATGTATGCATGCTCATACATGAACATACATATTTACGATAGTTTTTAGGCAAAGCTGTAAGAGCGGCAAGGGAAGGCTGCCGTTCGTTATTTTTTTTCGGCATAGCTCGGATTTTCTACCAACAACACAATGTTGTGACGCTTTGTCGTCGCGTCAGTCCTTCGACACAGTGACTCTTTGACAAGAAAACAAAAAACGTGAGCTTCGGCCATTGGTTGTTTGTGGCAACGGAGACTTCTCATGAAACAATGAGTGTACATACTTACATACATATGCTGCATGTAGACAAATTAATAATTATAATGGGTACTTTCATATTTGTTTACATGCACACATTAAATTGGGACTTTTATTTAACAATCCAGTGATCGAACTCAAGAGTGAGTTATAAGTAGACGATTTATCGAGAAATCCATTATAATATTGTAATATATATCTTTATTTCTAATTCCATTATTTTATATTTATTGCTTTTCCTCACCACCTTTGAGGTTGCAATATAGGCGCGTTACCGATCTTTTTTGGGTGTTCGGTTTCCCAGGAGGCCTATATTCACCCATATAATATATACAGTTCTAAAACAATCTACTTTTTGTAACAAATATAACTCGAAAAGATATATACATAAAATTAGGACTTGAGCGTCGACTCTAATATCGAAAGTCGACTTTTCGCGCGCTGTTACCATCCCTAGCTTCGAGATATATAAGTTAAACAGTAGCTGGGAGAGGACACTGCCCTGCAGAACCTCCTGTTTAATTCTTCTCAGTTTGGAGTTTTGACATCGAAACAATACGGATGAATTCCGACCGCTCAGGTAGTTCATAGTCTCTCTCAATCCTGGAGGGAGCGTAGATTATTCGATGTCCTCAAGTAGCCTTGTGGGTTGACTGTGTCAAAAGCTTTTGACAAGTCCAACGCTACGAGCATGGTCCTTTCGCAGAGTGGCTTTTGGTTTAGGCCATGAACTATCTGGGCGTTTATGTCGCTAAGTGCTGTGGTGGTGCTGTGAACTTTACGGAATGCTGGTGGTTTGCTAGACTCAGGTGGTGAGTGAATGACGGGAGTAACATGGCCTCAAGTGTTTTCACTACTGGTGAAAGGAGAGTTATCCGACGATAAGAATCCCCTTTGTTGGTGGGTTTCCCAGATTTGAGTAGTGAGACCACTCTTCTGATTTTCCACACATTGGGTATTTGAAGAGTGGTCATCGACAGCTTGATGACCTTGGTGAGATAGCGTACTCCCGTCGAGCCTAGATGTTTTAGCATTAACATGCTAATTCCGTCAGGGCCAATGGACGATTTTGCTTTGGCACTCTGAACATCCCTATCGGTGAAAGTAAGTGGTGCGCGGTCTTTTGGTATTTTGCGCCACCGTCGGGTAACACATCGTTTGGTCTTGTCTGCCAAAGGGTGCAGTGTCAATTGCCGGCTAAACTAGCTCGCGCACTTCTTCGGGTTTGAGGAGGCATGGCCATCAAATTGAATTTGAACTCGGTCGTCATGTTTCCTCGGATTAGACAAGGCCTTGACAGTACTCCAAAGCTTACTTACACCGGTGAAGAGGTTGCAGGACTTCAAATGCTCTATCCTCGATCACCTTGCGGAAATGACGCTGGCCAACGTGACGTCCGTAGGAATGAGTAGTGCTGTGACGATGCTCTCAGTAAATTCTGTGAAACCGACCCAGTTAGCTTTGCTAAAGTTATCAAAGGTGCGGTTGTCCACAGAAATAAAGTCGGGAGGTTTCTCGATCGAGATAATTATGGGCAGATGATCTGATGCGAGAGTTAGCAAAGTTCGCCAGGTGCAGAATGCCGAATCGCCAATATGTTCCGCCAACTCTATCCCCTTACGATCGTTTGACAGGCAGCAGCGCCACAGAACGCGGTGCGCGTTAAAGTCGCCTATCACCAAACGGTTTTCACCACGAAGTAGCGCACTTATGTTCGGGTGATATCCTGTTGGTCAACATGTAAATGGGGGGATGTATATATTAAAAATCTCGAGCATCGCCTGACCGGACAGCTATACCCTGACATTCAAGCGTAGTGTCCCTGCGGTCGATGTCAACATCGATTACAAGATATAGCGCGGTGTTCTGCAGTATGAAGGCTTGGCCTCCACCATTATCTCGCTCGTGATCCTTACGTAAAACGTTGAAACCTGCACAACTCGGAAGATTTGAGCGGCTGTTTAGCTTTGTTTCTTGGACCAAAGCTATCGATACGCGTTCCCGGCTCATTAATGCAACTATATCCTCGATCGTACTCTGGAGTCCGTTGCAGTTAAATTGTAGAAGTCGCGTTTGTCTCGGGTGTCTAGTGGTGATCCTGGGGGAAGGGAGGTACTATACGCATGGGCGGTTGTCGCACTGTGGTGGTTAGACTGGGAGTCATGCTGCCTGTGTGAGCTCCTTAAGGACGTGGACGTCCTTTCTTGGCCACTGACAGTGCAGTGCGCGAACATGGTGCAGTTTGCACAGCCGTTGAGGCAGGTGTCGCAGTAGTGCATTTCCAGCATGGGGCCACGTAACTTGTGATCCACTCCCTATGTGTCTTAAGATAGATTCATCCATTGCATGTATTACACTTAACCGGGGTGGAGTTTGGAGAGAGCCTTTTAGCGCAAATGCAGCAGAAGAGTTCCTCGAGGCCCGGGTTTTACTCGATGCCAGCACAGGTCAGGAGGTTACGGAGCAACCCAGCTGCTAGGTGTTGCTCTGAGGACGACAAACTTAAATTAAAACTCACCGATCCGAACAGGGTTAGATCGCCGAATTAACAGCCCTTGGACGCATAAAATCCGGGTCAATTCCGGTAACGTAGAACAGCTGTTGTGGGAATTGTTGACTTTTATTGTAAATACTGATAAAAAATATTTTCTACCAATACTTTCTGCTTACCAACCATCGAACCAAAACGGTAACATTATTACTTAATATCATTTTACGGATTTTAGTATGGCAACGTTGTTTATCACTTGTTCGGTTCTATCATGCTGTTGATTTCAAAACTTTTGTTCTGCGATTTGCATATTTTCCATTGATGAACAATTTCGCGTTAACCAACTTGTCCTATCCATTGACTTCTTATATATTAAAATATTGCTAGATAATAATGGAAAACAAACCATCGGTGCTGATATTGGGAGGTAAGTAAATCTTATATATATTAATTTAACAGTTTTTCTGGTTGGTCTTTATGCTTACCTTAATTTTGGCACAGAACTAAATTAGTGATCATAAACTACTCAGATATTAGCCTTTTGTTTTATATTGATATCTTCTTGTATCGCTACGGCCTTCTAAATATATATAGGGTGTGGATTCATTGGCCGTAATATGGTTACTTATTTGATAGAGAATGATTTGACTCAGGAAATCCGTGTAGTGGATAAAACGCCACCACAAATGGCCTGGCTGAACGACCGACATAATCAATCTTTTGATAACAAAAAAGTGGAATTTTGCAGCGCTAATCTCATAAATGCCGGTTAGTATACAATACATATATTTGCATATTGCTGTGAGTCATACATAAATACGTACGAACAACCCACACAAATTGCATTCTTCGCTCGTCTTTCTTTCAATGAGTTTGTATATTTTTTTGTTACAAGTTGCTAACTTTACTGTATGTATATTCTCCACAGAGTCTTGTAAAAATGCGTTCACCCCCCACCCTATTACAGGGCGTACGTGGGATCTGGTTTTCAACTGTGCAGCAGAGACACGTCCAAATCAAACAGAAGCTGTTTATAAGGAAGGAATACTTAAATTAAGTATGAATTGTGCCAATGAAGCAGCGAACATAAAAGTGAAGCGATTTATTGAGCTAAGTTCCGGTTGCGTTAACAGTTCGGAAAAGGTGCCACAAAAAGAAGATTGTAAGCATGAGCCGTGGACTTCTTTGGCTAAACAAAAGCTGAAGGTCGAGCGTGAGCTTGAAACACTAACTAATGTGTTGGATTATACGGTTGTAAGACTGCCTATCGTTTACGGATTAGGAGATAAGCGCTACTTATGTGAGTATAGTTATAAAATTTTCGATAACAGTTTCCGACACATACACCCATACTCGTCAAACAAATTTTTTATCATACGTTGCTGTTTTTAATTTACTGCAGTGCCTCGCGTTATTGTGGCTGCAATATACAAGTATTTGAATGAGTGTATGAAGTTGCTATGGAATGAGTCTATGCGACTTAATACTGTGCATGTTGATGATGTTTGTGCGGCGATGTGGTTTTTAGCACTTAACCCAGCCGCAGCAGGTGAAATATACAATATCGTCGATGACGCTGATTCCACCCAAGGAACAATAAGCGACATATTATCGGATGTATTTTCAATAAATGTTGATTACTTTGGCGTGGTTATGTCGAATTTGACAAAGGTACGTAAATTTTCTCATTTTCCACAATGTTTTATACCTTTAAGAAACCGTTTTCTTTTAAATATCTACAGTTAAGCCTCTCGGATACAGTGAGTGATGTAAATGATAAACACATGACGCCATGGGCGGAGATTTGTCAAAAGAATGAAATCAACAATACACCGTTAACGCCATATTTAGACGAAGAGCAGTTGTATCACAAACACTTATATTTAGATAATACAAAATTAAAGACTGCAGGATATCAGTTGAAGGTGCCTAAGTTAACGCGTGGTCATGTAATACAGATCATTGAAGACTATATAAAACAAAAACTATTTCCAAAATCTCTAATGGTTTGAAATTCGCCTCCACTAATTTGGTACTTAATTGAGTAACTTAAAAAAGATTTGTGAACTAAATTAATTAAAATACTTTAAATATTTGAATACTCTATAAACTCAAGTCATTGGATATTAATAAGAGTTATTCAAAGCTGATATTTAAAGTAACAATTAAAGACATTATAAGACCTAAGTTCTTTTTGTACACATTTATTGTACTACGCCGATATAATCTAAAGTGTACTTATAGTATTACTGTAAAGTAAGATTTTAAAATAGAAGACTAAAACGAATTTTAATGTTTTACGTATCTATGTATTCGTATCTACTCACATAATTATTGTATCGACATTTTTTATACATATAAATGATATTTTACAATAAGCAATAATGCTTTGTCATATTTTGTGCCAAGATGAAATAAAAATGAAAACTTAATAAAAACTTGTAAATTATAATGGAAACATATTAACAAATCAAAAAAACTATCGGAAAAGTGTGTTTAAGTAAAACATAAATATTCTCGTATATAGTTGTTTATGCCAGGAAACTATTTGAACTTCTTCCAACTAAAACTAACTCTGAAACAAGAAAAATCGTTAATTTTGGTTGCACCGAAGCTACAATACTCTTCACAGGTGCATTTCTCATAGCATCAAAGGGTGTAAAGAGATCTTTATCTTGACTTTGATTGTTCAGTTTTTATGGCAGCTATATGCTGTAGTAGTCTGATCAGAAGAGATTGTACTGTTCCATGCCAAAAATTTCTGAACATACATACCTATATGTCTCATGAAATAAATATGTTTTCCATACAAGTACATGTGCTTGACGGTTACCTAGTCCCCGTTTGGGTGATAAATTCCAGATTCGTTGTCGTCGAGGTCATCTAACGGGAGGCCCAGGAAACGAGCTGTTTCGAAGGGGTCGGACCATAGGGAGAAGGGTGTTAGATGAGTGGGGTTTTTTGGGCATGCAAAGAGGTGGTTAGTGTCATGCGGAGACTCATTGTACGCAGGACATGTGTTTGGTATGTCGAGGTCTATTCTGGATAAGTAGGAGTTAAACCTGCTACAGTATCCAGAAAAAAATGGCGCGAGGGTGACTCTGGTTTCGCGAGGCAACTCGAGGTCTACGTCTGCTATGGGTGGTGGTTTGACTCGTATTACGCCATTCACTGAGAGGGAGTCTGTGAAGGTGTTGATCTCTCCACTGTGAATGGCGGTCAGTGCCTGTCTGAAGTTCGTTGCGTCCGAAGTCCGGTCGGCGTACTGTTTAATGTCGTCGACGTAATCAAGGAAAGACCTCTTGATGTTCCTAGGAGGCGGCTGTTTCTACGAAAACACCCCAGTAGCAACTGCTTGGAGAGGAGTTTGTTGTGTTCCTTAAACGGAAGCATACGGGCCTCACTATGTAGGTGTTCGATTCGAGACATCAAGAGGCATCCCGTGATAGTCCGGAGTGCAGTGTTCTGACAGGTCTGAAGCTTCTTCTTCTGCGTGTCACTGCATCCAGGCGACCATATTGGGGCTGCGTAATGTAGGACCGGCCGGCCGATTGCCTTGTATGTTGCTAACAACGTTTCTTTGTCTTTCCCTAAGAGCTGCCGGCAAGCGACTTGAGGATTTTGTTGTCCAAAGTGACGCCTAAAATTTTAGGGTTATTGACTGTCGGAATTTTTGTGCCATCGACTGAAATGTTCAGGTCCAGTCTGTACTCCTTCCTGTTTAATTTTCCTAAGTTAAACAGTACGGATGAATGCCGACCGCTCAGGTAGTTCATAGTCCACCGCTTCAGCCCTGGAGGGAGCGTTGATTATTCAAGGTCCTCAAGTAGCGTTGTATGATTGACTGTGTCAAAAGCTTTTGACAAGTCCAACGTTACGAGGATCGTCCTCTCGCAGGGTGGCTTCTGGCTCAGGCCATGAACTATCTGGGCGTTTATGACGCTAAGTGCTGTGGTGGTACTGTGCACTTTTCGGAAGCCATGCTGATGATCTGCTGGGTTCAGGTGGTGAGTGAATGACGGGAGTAACAAGGCCTCAAGTGTCTTCACTACTGGGAAAGGAGAATTATCGGGCGATAAGACTCCCCTTTGTTGGCGGGTTTCCCAGGTTTCAGTAGTGGGACCACTCTTCCGACTTTCCACACATCGGGTATTTGAAGAGTGAATATCGACAGGTTGAGGACCTTGGTGAGATAGTTTACTCCCGTTGGGCCTAGGTGTTTTAGCATCAGCATGCTTATTCCGTCAGGGCCAATAGATTTAGAGGATTTCGCCTTTTTGATGACACTCTGAGCCTCCTCATCGGTGAAAGTAAGTGGTGCGCAGTCTTTTGGCATTTTGCGCAGATGTTGGGTAACACGTCGTATGGCCTTGTCAGTCGAAGGGTGCAGTGTAAATTACCGGCTGAAATAGCTGGCGCACTTCTTCGGGTCCGAGGAGGCATGGCCATCGAATTAAATTTCAACCCGATCGTCATGTCTTCTCGGATTTGACAGGGCCTTGACAGTAGTCCAAAGCTTACTCACACCGGTGGAGAGGCTGCAGGACTTCAGGTGCTCTATCCATTTTGTCCGCTTATGATGATTTACCATTTGCCGAACCTCCAAATTGAGATCCCTTATTCGGGGATCACAGGGATCGGCATGGCGTAAGGTGTCGCGCTCGTTTGCTAGTACAGCTGCTTCGGCTGGGAAATTAGGGCGGAGTTCCGCGATTCTTCCAGCCGGTATGAAGCGAGCAGTAGCAGCAGCGATCACCTTGCGGAATTGACGCTCGCCAACGATGACGTCCGTAGGAATGGGTAGTGCGTTGAAGGTGCTCTCGGTAAATTCTGTGAAGCCGACCCAGTTTGCAGTGTTAAAGTTAACATAAGTGCGGTTGTCCTCAGAAATAAAGTCAGGAGGTTTCTCGATCGAGATAATTATGGGCAGATGGTCTGATGCGAGAGTTAGCATAGGTCGCCAGGTTATACTATTTATCAGACCACCGCTAGCGATGGTAATATCTGGCGAGCTATTACAGGTGCCCATAATTCTGGTAGGGGCTTCGTCATTCATTGTGCAGAATGTCGAATCGTCTATCTGTTCCGCCAGCTCCATTCCCCTACGATCGTTTGACAGGCAGGAACGCCAAAGATCGTGATACGCGTTAAAGTCGCCTAGCACTAAACGGTTTTCACCACGAAGTAGCGCATCTATGTTCGGGTGATATCCTGTTGGGCAACCTGTAACTGGGGGATGTATATATTAAATATTTCGAGCTTGACATCGCCTGACCGGACAGCTATACCCTGACATTCTAGGGTAGTGTCCCTACGGTCGATGTCAACATCGATTAGACGATATTGCACGGTGTTGTGCCATATGAAGGCTAGGCCTCCACCATTATCTCGCTCGCGATCCTTACGTAAAACGTTGAAACCTGCACAACTCTCCACTCTCGTGTGGTGCGCAGACCAGAACACGACAGAAAGTGACACCAGCCAGTACAAGAATTGCACTTGACTTATGTGACATTCCGGCGTATTATGGTCTGACACACGGAACAGACTGTGCGAGGAACCAGGAGTTGCTGGGTGGTTCTCGCACGAGGATTGGAGCTGGATGAAGGTTGGGGGGGGAGGTTGGTCAGACTGGGAGTCATGCTGTCTGTGTGAGCTCCTTAGGGCTGTGGAGGTCCTATCTTGGCCACTGACAGTGCAGTGCGCGAACATGGTGCAGTTTGCACAGCAGTTGACGCAGGTGTCGCAGTAGTGCATTTCCAGCATGGGGCCACGTAACTTGTGATCCACTCCCTATGTCTCTTAAGTTAGATCCATCCATTGCATGTATTACACTTAACCGAGGTGGAGTTTGGAGAGAGCCTTTTAGCGCAAATGCAGCAGAAGAGTTCCTCGAGGCCCGGGTTTTACTCGATGCCAGCACAGGTCAGGAGGTTACGGAACAACCCAGCTGCTAGGTGTTGCTCTAAGGACGACAAACTTAAATTAAAACTCACCGATCCGAACAGGGTTAGATCGCCGAATTAACAGCCCTTGGACGCATAAAATCCGGGTCAATTCCGGTATCGCAGAACCGGCTGTTGTGGGAATTGCATCATTGTGCTTGATCCATCAGGTTGTACGGCTATATCTTTTAATAATATATAGTAGGTGTCACGAATTCAGATATTATTGGTTTGATGTTCGAAACAGAAATTGTATTGGTTTTTGGTGTCACGGAAACCAATTTTATCGGTTTTCTTATCAGAAACAAAGCAAGAAGATAGTCGATTTAAAGTATTAGTTAAGAAATTAATTTATTTTATTGTTACGAATTAACGGTGTCTACTTTACTATGGGGGAAAACAGAAGAATACAGCACAAAATGCCATAATTTTTGAGTGGAGAAGAATCCAGATATTTTAAGTGGATTTATAAAACCTAATTTAACACTATAACAAACGCATCTTCATTCAGGCGATAAAATAAAATAATAAATGTAAAGCAATCCAGTAAAAACAATGCAATCATACAAGTAAATGCGAGCTAGATTTTATTCCCTCGGACATCAAGTGGATTACTGTGATCTCTTAAAATCATTATTTTAATCTTTTCGTTGCTTTCGGTCTAGAATAAAATAAAAGATAAAATTGTAAACTTTATTTATTTATTTAAATTGTTTTGTCACATTAGCAAACAGCTGATTCGAATATTGGTTTTGCATATGTTCGACAAAACGAAAATCCAATCAAATTCTGTGACACCAATGAAAACCAGAATTGGTTAGCAATTCTGACAACTAAGCAAATCTGTCTTGAATTCCACAACACCCCTGGGCATCTCAAAAACTGAGGGGCTAATTCGATTCAGCTCTTAATGTTGTTCATTGATATGTGTATGTATGTACATGTGTTTATCACAATAATCATTGAATCTATGTTATTACTGTTTGTTTAAAAGTTAGCTAAGCATTCCATCGAAAGTCGGGTCATCTTACCCGGGCGAACAGGATTTCTATTCGGCCAAGCAATTTCAACTCGGCGGCCTCCTTCTAAATTTATTTACCATAAGCATGTTCAGGGTGGCCTCTATATGTATATACTTGTATATTTACCCTTATGATAGATGGGTATTTCTTTTGGTCCATTTATGATATTTTTTAAGAGAAATTATTCTATTTGGTAAAATAATAACAACAAAATTTAAGATTTTTATTAATTATGTAGTTTTTCGGTATATTTTTAGAGTTTAAATGTTACCGTTATACAGCTCATAATTCTATATGCTTCATTCTCTTCTCTTTCTTTTTATAAGTCAATTTACAATAAAATGCATTGCTTCACTTTTCAAAACTTAAAGTTAAATACAAACACAACACTATTTTAAAAACAGAAGATAACATGAATTATTATTAATACAGCGCCATTAGGTCGTTTTTTTTGTCGTGAAATAAATTACAGCAAGTACATTTACATCAAAACTG